TTCAGCGACAGTCAGAGATCCGGCGCCCAAACCATAAATAGTACTGACGTTCACCTGACTGTCCCCTCTCGTGACCGACACTTTCAGACCTCCGAAACCTCCGATTCCTAGAAAAAGGAATTCCCATTTCTTGTCATTCACTCCATTGGACGGTCTCTTCAGTAGATTATCACTAATGGAGTTGTGGTCAACCTTTCCACCAAAATGTGCCGGAATTCTGTCAAAAAATAAAATATTAAGAATATTAAAAAAATATCAATATTAATACAGTACAGTATTATAAAAGTTGGTATTACTTTGAAATAAAATTATTAGCGATTGTCTCCAAATCATCGGTAGGTTTGGCTGTGACCAGAGCTAAGGCAGACACCAATGCTATCAGTATTTTAACCATTTTGTAATTTTACAAATATATTCCTCCAGAAATAATTTAAAAATAATATTTATTAAAATTATATTCTATTATATTTCTTATAAAATTGTTTCTCTTTATATACTTTTATATTCACTTAGAGTTAATGCAATTATTGGTTTAAAAGTATCTCTTTTATTGATAATGAAGTAGATTTAGACACATAAAAGATATTGATTCATAAATATTGTGTAAACATTTAATTATTTCAGAAATTGTTTGTAATTATTATTTTTAATTCTATTTTTAAACGAGATTTTAGACATATGTTATGTTTCTAGACAATGATAGACCAAAAGTACCTGTCTTATTCAACATCAGTAATTAACATCATAGTAATCACAATACTATCAAAAATTATTTATCAAAACAATTAGTCATATACATCTGTTATTACTGATAAAAGTTTTACTTTTCCCTTTATTCTTATGCTAAATATAATATTATATAAATAGATACAATTTGCAGCAAACAAACAATTAATTGAATTAATAAATTAATATATTTATAATTAATATTAAATATTAAAAAGTGATTCAAATATCAAGAATAATCTGAAAATGTCTTCAGTTTTCTCTGTCATTGTTTTAAGTGTCTGTTCGGTTGCAGTCATCGGTGGTACAGATTTACAACAATTAACTAAAAATCTGATGAAATCGTAAGTTATTTACTAAAAATTTAATTTCAATTATCCATTCATTCATTCATTTTATTATTTCTAGACTCAATCCAAACGGCGCT